ATGCTCCACTTCTCATTGCCACAGAGAAGCAGGCTGCTGTGGGCTAGGAGAATGGTGGGGCAGGATTCTGGCTCCCGCTGCCCACATGGTAGAGTATGGGGAGGTGACAAGCGCTGCTGCCACAGCATTAGGCCCCCTGTAATCTGGCCTGCATTGCTTGGGAGAGAAGAAAAGGAGGTAACGGCACAATGGAGCCAATGCGGGGGTTGCCTTGTGTTTGGACACACAGTAGAGGGCAGGGGAGGGTTGCTCCAGGCCACATGCTCCACTTGAGAACTGGCATAATATTTTTTATTCTATGATGTCCTCTGCCTATGCCATTTCTATGCTACAATGAACACAAATGGACTCAGTATTACAAATGCCTGTATATCTTATTTCTGCTTAGCTGAAATAGAAAGCTTAATAGAAACCCTGCAAACACTTTAAAGAATGATATTTTACCTTATTAGTCATTGCTCCATTAGAGAGTTCACGCGTCATCACTACCTGGGTGGTATTGTAGTAAACAATAATGGCGTGTGGACAGGAAAGACCATCTTCCGCATCGCAGAAGTAATTGTCAATGTCAATACGGAAGTTGCCATATTTAGGGATAATCTGCTTCACGAGTACATATGTGCAGTTGTCAAGGAATGTGTAATATTTTCCATCAAATGTAATGTAGTGAGGATCACCCCAGCCGCTACAGACACCTGGTAAAGAGGAAAAATGTAGCAGTTGAGACTAAAATAGGTTTACAAGAAAGAGTTCAGAAAGTTAAGCCAGTAACACAAACTTCTAGGTAGCCCTGGAACCATGAGAACCAAATTGCCACATATTCCATTTAATTGTTTTCTATATTTTCAGTGATGTTCTCTCTTCATTTGTCACTTACATTCACATTCATAGTAGTAACAGCAGCCATCCTCACTGAAGATCTTTACAGGTGGGTACCCATTGGCACAGGTAATTTTCTCAACAGGTGGACATTTCACTTGCTGTATAGCAATTTTGTTGTTTCCCTCGCAAGTTGCAGTGGTGCAGTTGGATAACTTCCATGTTTCACCTATCTGTTAAAAAACAAAGAATTGGTGTCACAAGAGCTTGGAATTAGGTTTGAGCTTTATACAGATTTTTAGTTCCAAAATGCTAAGATGCTTGCAATGTTTGTGAAGTTACTTTTCATATAATGTATGTCTTCTTTCTTATAATGCAATCCTTCTTCTTTGTTTGTTGTGCAGGACATTTTACCTGAGGATGGACAGTAGTGGCACCATTTTTTTGCTCACACTTTCTAAGGCAATTCAATCCAAAGTGGTTAATCATTGAAAATGTCATAATTTAAAAAAATTGAAAACAGACCATTATAAAAAAAGGGTTAATCAGCCCTGACGACAGACTTTGATTCCACTCTGACTTATGATAATAGTCCTAACACTTTTGTGTCTGTGGGAAAAAGACTTAAGACTAAACCCTTGCATTCTTGCGTTACATGGCAATGTGGTGTTCCAAAGTATAGTCTGGTTTCTTGACCACACGGTGCCACAGAAATTCTCAGGAAGGTAGGGGAGGTTCTGTAGCTTCCTTTGTACCCTAAATCTGGACTGTGGCAAGAGGATAGGAGTTCATGACCCTGCATATTCCTTGCAGAATCCTTGTAGATGACACCAGTGCACTGGTTGTGCACAGAACTTCCACTATTTTTTATATGTGCGGAAAAGCATTCTGTTGAGACTCAGCCAAGGGTAATACATGATCAACAAAGCACAAAGATCTCCTTCTGAAGAGTCTGTTTTATACCTCAGAAAATGGGCTGCCAGACAGGATATGAACAACCCATGTCCGCATGAAAGGTCTTTCCCCAATGATGACCAGAGTGGTGGGAAGTGACAACCCTCTCAAGCTCCCACCTATACCCACGTTGCAGAGGTAATTGTTGAAGGTGTGTTTTAACCTACAGGAGCCAAATTCCCATTGTTGTACCTGCTCCATGTATGATAACCCAGTCTAAAGCACTTCATGATAGAGTTAGAGCTTGGGTTATGCAAAGAGATGTTGGTCAGGGCACAGAGAAGATTACCGCACCCTAAACATCTCTGGGTTACTGAGTAGAGTAGGCCCAAAGTGTGGAAAAATCTGTGTCCAGAGCATACTCAAGATTTATCAGACCAGTGTAGAGCTAATAAACACAGGAGAAAGAGGCATCCCCATCCCTTACTTCAGTGTAGAGCTGATAAACACAGGAGAAAGAGGCATCACCATCCCTTACTCCAGTGTAGAGAAAGGACAAGACTGGCCATTACAGAATGGAGAGAATAAAGAGATATGCATTGCAATGAAATATTTTGGAAGATTAATTCTCTTTCAAATTAGTAGGTACCAAGTTGCACAAATGAACATGTAATATTGAGATTTGTCTACAAGTGTTTTATACCAATTTTGCATAAACTGGGGCACATGGTCTACTATGAGAATCCATAGAATCATAGAATATTAGGGATGGAAGAGATCTCAGGAGGTTATCTAATCCAGCCACCTGTTCAAAGCAGGACCAGCCCCACCTAAATCATTCCAGCCAGCGTTTTATCAAACCTCACCTTAAAATCTTTTAAGGATAAAGATTCCACCACCATCTTAGGCTACACATTCCAGTGTTTCACCACCCTCTTAATGAAATAGTTTCCCCAAATAGCCAACCTAGACCTCCCCCACTCTAAGTTGAGATGGTTGCTTCTTGTTATCTATCACCAGAATAGCCTAGTTTCATCCTTTTTGAAACTCCCCTTCAGGCAACTGAAGACTCCTATGTAATCCCCCCTCATTCTTCCCAAGACTAAATAATTCCCAATTCCATCGGCCTCTGATATAAATCATGTGCCACAGCCCCCTAAACATTTTCATTGTCCTCTGCTGCACTCTGTCCAATTTGTTCACATACTTTCTGTAATGGGGGCCCCAAAATGGGACACAGTACTCCAGATGTGGTCTCACCAGTGCCAAATGTAGGGGAATAATCACTTTCCTCAATCTGCTGGCAATGCTTCTATTAATGCAGCCCAATATGCAGTTGACACACTGTTGACTTATATCCAGCATCTCGTCTACTGTAATCCTGAGATCCTTTCCCGCACAACAGCTGCTGAGCCAATCAAACCCTAACCTGTAGCAGTACATGGGATCCTTCCATCCTAAGTGTAAGACTCTGCACTTGTCATTCTTGAACCTCACCACATTACATTTGACCCAATACCCCAATTTGTCTAGGTCTCTCTGGACCCTATCCCTACCCTCCAGCATATCTACCTGTCCCCGCAGCTTTGTGTCATCTACCAACTGCATAAGGATGCAAACCAGCCCATCATCGAAATCATTAGTGAGTAGTTTAAGATGGTTTTTAAATTTTAAATATTTTATATTGTACTTTCTAGTGACTCCAATTATTTTTAAAGGTATTGTCTAGGTTGTACAAGAAGGTAAGAGGTAAATACCTTTCTGGGAGGTTTAGCATCTGGACACCCAATTACAGTGGTAGAACTAACTGTTGTGGTAGGAGTTGTAGTTGGTAAAGAGGTTGCAGTTGTAGGTGTAGTTGTTGTTGCTGGAGTTGTTGAATTACATGGCCCCTTAAATCGCTCCACTGAACATGATTTACTACAAATGGCATAAAATATACATCCATCCTTGTCTATTTTGCTGTAAATCAATTCACCTATAAAACATATAAGAATACAAAGAATACAAAATACACAAAGAAAACAAAAAATAACTTACAAATGATTTAGTAAAAAGAGACTGTAACATTGTCAACTAGAAGATTCACCTAGTGTTGCTTGAGCCTCAGCTCAATTAATTTTTGTTTTTCTTCATTGAAATCACTGCTCTGGGATGGAGCTGGGAATAAGGGTTTCCTTATGCAGGCTTTCCCGGAGAGAAAGGACTACCCTAGTCCTTTCTCACTGCAGAAGCTTGGGGCCAGGTGAGAGGTGCTTCTCCATGGACAATGTAGCTCCAGCAGGTACAGCTGAGGAAGGAGTTCATGTCCTCTGGCTGGGGTACATCCAGGTTCATCTGCCCCCCTGCACTCCCCAGCCAGATCGAAAGGAATGGAGAAAACTGTACTTTTCCCTTGCTCTATGTCCCATATGAATGGGGGAGGGAAGGGGAGTTTCTAACCCCTAGCATACCTAAGGCACCAGGGGATGAGAGCACCTAAGGCATCTGGGGATGGGAGACTCAGGGCTGGAGCAGTCCCAGATGGGGGTAGACGCTCCATGGCAGCCTTTACCCCTGCTTGGGGATTCTTTCTCTTCTCTGGATGGTTGTATGCATCCCGGATGCATCGGGGGAGGGGAATGTGAGGCTCCTCCCCCAATCAATTTGCAAATTTGGTGATCCTAGCTATTACTGTTTGCAAGGAGTTATTTTTATGTGTCCCCATACAAATCGGGAAAGAAGGAGGCTTCTGCTTCACTCTCACTCCGCACAATCACGCGCTTGCCTTATTTTAAGTCATTATAATAGGAAGCTGCGAACCAAATATGGTGATTCCGACACTAACTATATAGAAGGAGTCAATGAACAAACGGATGGAGAGATAGACAAATAATATTGGTTCCTCACAGACAAGCACTCTCAAACATAAAGTAGATAGAATATTCCAATCTGCACTTTAAAAATCCACTCAAAAGCCATGAAAAATATCAATATTGAATGAAAACCAATGAATTGTAAAACACTTACCAGAGGCATAGACAGCATCTCCAATTTGGCAAAAGCAGGGTGTGGTTCTGGACACCGGTGATGTTGTGGGAGTTTCTGTGGGAGGCAGAGTAATAATAACTGTTGTGCCTCTGCTTGCACTTGTTCCTGCAGAGGAGATGGTTGGTGATGTTGTGGAGATTAGTGATGTTGTGCTGGTTACATAAGAAGTCGCTGTGCTTGGGCTTGTGGTGGTAATGATTGGAGATGTTTCAGAAGTGGTAGTCTCTGGTGGTTCGGTAACTGTTGTTGGAGTGGTAGATGTGACTCCGATGGTTGTTTCTGTGACTGTAGTTGTTGGTGAATGTGTAGCTGTGGGAGTGGCAGTTGTAGTTCTAATTGAGCACTCAGGGTTTTCTTCACAGCAGAAAATACGTACCTCATAATTTAAACACATTTCACTTTTCCCAGTTTGGTCCTCATTTTTGCACACCAGCCCGTAATTCACATCACACTGCACTACTTGACCAAGTTTGTCGATACTAACGTCTGGTTGGTTTACTGCCCTACATTCAATATTTTCAGGCTTTCTGCAAATTGTTCCTTCTGCTAATTTTATGTTGTCATAGGTTTCAAAATCTCCTTCTTTTGGACCAGCAAATGGGAAATCAACATCAAACCATTCAGACCATGTGCATATCGGCTGACATGGTGTAGTGGAAGAAATGGTTGTTCCTGGAGTTGTGGAGACTGGTGATGTTGTGGGAGTTTCTTTGGGAGGCAGAGTAGTGGTAACTGTTGTGCTTCTGCTTGTGCTTGTTCCTGGAGTGGAGGTTGTTAAGGTGGTTGGTGATATTGTGGAGGTGGGTGATGTTGTGGTTTTTAAAAAACGAGTCGTTGTGCTTGGGCTTGTGGTGGTAATGATTGGAGATGTTTCAGAAGTGGAAGTCTGTGGTGCTTCGGTACCTGTTGTTGTAGTAGTGGTAGACGTGACTCCGGTGGTTGTTTCTGTGACGGTTGTTGGTGTTCGTGTAACTGTAGTGGTGGGAGTTGTGGTTCTAACTGGACACTTAGGGTTTTCTCGACAGCACAACACACGTATCTGATAATTTAAGCACATTTTGTGTTTCCCAGTTTGGTCCTCATTTTTACACACCAGGCCGTAGTTCACATTGCACTGCACAACTTGACCAATCTGGTGGATGCTGAGATGTGGGTGGCTTTCAGCCCTACACTCAATATTTTCAGGCTTTCTGCAGATTGCTGCTCCTGCTGCTTTTATGTTGTCATAGGTTTCAAAGTCTCCATGCTTTGGTCCAGGAGAGGGAAAATTGACATCAAACCATTCGGACCATGTGCATATCGGCTGACATGGTGTAGTAGAAGAAATGGTTGTTCCTGGAGTTGTGGAGACTAGTAATGTTGTGGGAGTTTCTTTGGGAGGCAGAGTAGTGGTAACTGTTGTGCTTCTGCTTGTGCTTGTTCCTAGAGTGGAGGTTGTTAAGGTGGTTGGTGATATTGTGGAGGTGGGTGATGTTGTGGTTTTTACAATACGAGTCGTTGTGCTTGGGCTTGTGGTGGTAATGATTGGAGATGTTTCAGAAGTGGTAGTCTGTGGTGGTTCGGTAACTGTTGTTGTAGTAGTGGTAGATGTGACTCCGGTGGTTGTTTCTGTGACGGTTGTTGGTGTTCGTGTAACTGTAGTGGTGGGAGCTGTGGTTCTGAATGAGCACTTAGGGTTTTCTCGACAGCACAACACACGTATCTGATAATTTAAGCACATTTCATATTTCCCAGTTTGGTCCTCATTTTTACACACCAGGCCGAAGTTCACATTGCACTGCACAACTTGATCGATCTGGTTGATGCTGAGATGTGGGTGGTTTTCTGCCCTACACTCAATATTTTCAGGCTTTCTGCAAATTGCTGCTCCTGCTGCTTTTATGTTGTCATAGGTTTCAAAATCTCCTTGATTTGGTCCGGGAGAGGGAAAATCTGCATCAAACCATTCGGACCATGTGCATATCGGCTGACATGGTGTAGTAGAAGAAATGGTTGTTCCTGGAGTTGTGGAGACTAGTGATGTTGTGGGAGTTTCTTTGGGAGGCAGAGTAGTGGTAACTGTTGTGCTTCTGCTTGTGCTTGTTCCTAGAGTGGAGGTTGTTAAGGTGGTTGGTGATATTGTGGAGGTGGGTGATGTTGTGGTTTTTACAATACGAGTCGTTGTGCTTGGGCTTGTGGTGGTAATGATTGGAGATGTTTCAGAAGTGGTAGTCTGTGGTGGTTCGGTAACTGTTGTTGTAGTAGTGGTAGATGTGACTCCGGTGGTTGTTTCTGTGACGGTTGTTGGTGTACGTGTAATTGTGGTGGTGGGAGTTGTGGTTCCGACTGGGCACTTAGGGTTTTCTCGACAGCACAACACACGTATCTGATAATTTAAGCACATTTTGTGTTTCCCAGTTTGGTCCTCATTTTTACACACCAGGCCGTAGTTCACATTGCACTGCACAACTTGACCAATCTGGTGGATGCTGAGATGTGGGTGGCTTTCAGCCCTACACTCAATATTTTCAGGCTTTCTGCAGATCACTGCTCCTGCTGCTTTTATGTTGTCATAGGTTTCAAAGTCTCCATGCTTTGGTCCAGGAGAGGGAAAATTGACATCAAACCATTCGGACCATGTGCATATCGGCTGACATGGTGTAGTAGAAGAAATGGTTGTTCCTGGAGTTGTGGAGACTAGTGATGTTGTGGGAGTTTCTTTGGGAGGCAGAGTAGTGGTAACTGTTGTGCTTCTGCTTGTGCTTGTTCCTGGAGTGGAGGTTGTTAAGGTGGTTGGTGATATTGTGGAGGTGGGTGATGTTGTGGTTTTTACAATACGAGTCGTTGTGCTTGGGCTTGTGGTGGTAATGATTGGAGATGTTTCAGAAGTGGTAGTCTGTGGTGGTTCGGTAACTGTTGTTGTAGTAGTGGTAGATGTGACTCCGGTGGTTGTTTCTGTGACGGTTGTTGGTGTACGTGTAATTGTGGTGGTGGGAGTTGTGGTTCCGACTGGGCACTTAGGGTTTTCTCGACAGCACAACACACGTATCTGATAATTTAAGCACATTTTGTGTTTCCCAGTTTGGTCCTCATTTTTACACACCAGGCCGTAGTTCACATTGCACTGCACAACTTGACCAATCTGGTGGATGCTGAGATGTGGGTGGCTTTCAGCCCTACACTCAATATTTTCAGGCTTTCTGCAGATCGCTGCTCCTGCTGCTTTTATGTTGTCATAGGTTTCAAAGTCTCCATGCTTTGGTCCAGGAGAGGGAAAATTGACATCAAACCATTCGGACCATGTGCATATCGGCTGACATGGTGTAGTAGAAGAAATGGTTGTTCCTGGAGTTGTGGAGACTAGTGATGTTGTGGGAGTTTCTTTGGGAGGCAGAGTAGTGGTAACTGTTGTGCTTCTGCTTGTGCTTGTTCCTGGAGTGGAGGTTGTTAAGGTGGTTGGTGATATTGTGGAGGTGGGTGATGTTGTGGTTTTTACAATACGAGTCGTTGTGCTTGGGCTTGTGGTGGTAATGATTGGAGATGTTTCAGAAGTGGTAGTCTCTGGTGGTTCAGTAACTTTTGTTGTAGTAGTGGTAGATGTGACTCCGGTGGTTGTTTCTGTGACGGTTGTTGGTGTACGTGTAATTGTGGTGGGGGGGGGTTGGGTTCCG